AAGTTTATATTCACAGTTCATAGAAAATATATCTACCAACTATTTTCGTCACAAAATTGATATCAGAAATTTTGTGTTTCAAATTTTGGTTTCGTCACTCGTTCTTCACCTCGATAGAGGTTTTTTATTTGATATCAATAGTTTTGTAAGCGCTATTTTCAATGTTAAAGATTCAAGAAACATGAATTTGAATCTTTTTCAAATACAATGAAAATATGGATTTTTAGGCTATTTTTGGATCAAAATCATATAAATTGTGGTTCGTAATGGGGAAAAGTGGTTTTTTCTGTGGTGTGTGGTATGCATATTTTTTTTATCTTTGACTTGGGGCTTAAATTGATGAAATTTTCAAAAGAACATATGCAGTAGGGTGTTTCCACATGAAAAATATTAAAAATTGGCTATTATCATTTTGAAGAGCGTTAAATTCTGTATAAGATGATTTGATTTTTGATACTGATTGGTTGCCGATGTCACTTCCTGGACTAAAAATACATTTGTAAATTGATTTCATGTCGCATTCACGCCAAAATCTGTAATTGATGAAAATATAAGATTGAACTAAATTAAAAACGCTCAAAATAATTTTAATATCAAAATAATTGCCTAAATATTAATAAAAGTAACACAAAAACTCACAATTTTACCACAATAAACCAAAACAATGCAAAATCGCCAATTTTTGGTTTTTGGCCAATTTGGCCACACCCACATGAAATTTTTAAGTCGCAATTGGCATTACTCGAGAGCTTAATTTAAGACCTTTCCAACGAATATGCATATGTCCTGGTTATGTCAAGACTAGGTCCCACAGCGACCGTATGAAATAATGGCCATTTTTGCATGACCTTTTGCATATTTTGCCATTTATACTAACATTTTTGTAGAGTTCTTTCAATTTCATTTGTGACTAACCGCATGCACCTCTCCCGACGATAGTCCACCTTCTAGCCTGGTGGGAGGGGACATAATATTCGGTATTTTATCGATCTTATTCGCGGAGACTATCAAACATGTAGTTATTTGTTGTTAAAATATCATATTTCATACATCTAGACATTTTTGTGAAAATCGAATTTTGGTACATTTGGTCGATTTTTGGTGGAATAGCCATCAACAACGGTCGATATTTTGTTACATTTTATTTGGCTAGTCACATAGCATATTTACAGAGTCATTGGAGTACATTTTGGCCCATAAAATACTTCAAATGTTAAAAGTAAAATTTTTTGTCATTTTTGGCCATTTTTGGCCATATTCGCACTATCAAAGGCCATATCTCGAAAACAAGAATTTTCTGGGATATGAGCTATGCGCCATTTTATAGCTTAGACTTGGGCCTAAAAATCGATGAAATTTTCAAGTGACAATGAAAGGCTAGTTTTCGAGCTAATGACCATTATGTGTCCGGCCAAACGGTAACTTTTTGGTTTTTGGCCAATTTGGCCACCCCAAATTGAAATTTTTGGACCGCAAATGGCTTCATTCGATAGCTCACTTCAAGACCTTTCCAATGATATGCATATGTCTGGGAGGGTGTCAAGTCATGGCGCTTCGGTGACCATAGGGAAAAAAGTCGAAAAGTGACTTTTGGAGACCGGCCACGGCCAACATGGCGGCCAAATCGAAAAGTGCCGGAACAAAAAAGTCTTAGTTTTTTGTGTACTTTAATCACAGAAAGTTCTAAAAAGATCAGAA